GCATAGTCCCGAGCCCTAATAATTATGTTATAACATTACTATAATAAAATAAATAAATAAACATATTTTATGTCGTCAAAAATGACAACACTGCTAAGAGGATAGCTGTGACCGCACCACCCAACCCCGCCAATATGTGATGCTCCGTCTATGAGTATAAGGTCTATGGTATCAGTACGAAAGTATCGCGCTATTACGTTATCACAAGTAGTATTTAGTCAAATGAGAAGAGGCAAACGTCGGCAGCCATATTTGCGCGGAAATAGTTGCAAACTAGCATATTGCTGACATACCCAGGACCGTTTTAGGAATTTGACACCTAGGGGCAACAAAAATAAAATACGCCTCATTAATCATTATACGAAATACAAATTTAAATTATAAAAAAATTAGCAGTCCTCTCCTACTCAACCCCCCGGGGCAACCCTGTAGCTCCCCCCTAAATACGGTCCTGGACATACCTATTTATTTTGTCATGATATATACGCATTGAAAGCTATTAAAACTTAGAATATCTCGGAAATGTTTATTTTATCGCATAGACCATTGATCTGAGTGAGTAAATCGCTTAGACGGAAGAAAGATGTTTATGATTTTMCCATGATCTAAGATTAAAATCACCTTAAACAAAAATTATAAATAATACATATTTTTAGGGTTATACTTATCATTTTTTATTCTATTATTAATTGATTTACATTAAACTTTAAAAATAAAATGTTATTAACTTTAATGGATATTAAAATGTTTGAGATAATATTTAAAGAAATCAACATCTTTACTATTAGAAATATTTTCCCAATACCTTTTTTATGTGTAATTTTACTGTAAGATAACACAATTTTTTTTTTTAAATGATTTTCTGTCAACGTATTATATTRATGGCGTKCAAAGGATAAGAACTAACAAAATTTTAAGAGTGAACAAAAAAATTTATATTTTTTACTACCTATTGGAAAATTCTAAACCAGCTCTTTCTTTCTTTTTACTAATTTTTAAAGATCTAACATCAAGTCATGGGCTCTAGATATGACAGTTATGTATGGTCACTGAAGTTAAACTTTCACCAGTTCTTAAAACAAATATAATGGCAATGATTTCTTTTAATTTTATAGAAGTTTAAAAATCGAGATTTTGTTTATGTTCCATTAACAATGACTGTCCTAAAATTAGTCAGTCTTACACTGTCATAGAACGGAGAGACTGATTCATTTATTACTTAAGTTAAGTCAATCTTACGTTTTGTTTTTGTTTTAATAGTTTCATTTTCATAAAATGTTGATTTTTTATTCCTCGCAACTGTTTTTCGTGAGATTTTTCTAGTTGAACAATATCATTTTCACTGTTTCTTTCTAATTCTATTAACCTTAAATTTAAAATAGAAACTGTCTCGAATTTATTCTTCAAATAGTTAGAAGAAACAAGAATGTCTTCTGAAAATTTTGGTGTAGCGTGGGTAATCTTTCCTTTGGAATTTTTCACATGCCATATACAAATACTACCATCTACAGAACACGTGATCAATGTTGAGTCATTTATTGTCAGTCGCATCTGTAATCATTAAATTGTTCATGTAATTATTTATCAAATGAGACTACACACCTTTGATATAGTTTTGTTGTGGATGCAAAATTCTTTGTATTTGATTTGAGATTTGATAGGCAATGCCAGCGACAATATGACGCCGAATTGACACGCCACGAATAACATTAAATCTGATTTGGATAGCACTATGGTGTTTAACGGACCATGGTCTAAATTTTTATCACGAATCACCTAAAAATATTTATTATATTAAAATAATCTAAAAACAATATGCAGAAAAACAATAATATTTGTTCGTTGTATTGATTTCTAAAAAATAAAAAGTTGAATCAAATTATTTGTAATAATTCTTCAACATATATATCACGAATTACCGGGTATCGCAAAGCCAAATATTAAAACACAACAATATTACTTATGATTTATGCAAGGAATAGCTAGGAAACAACATTTGACATATGTATACGTTTTATAACTTATTTTAGTACATTTTTTATACAGCAAAGGTTCTTAACCGAGGGTCCACGGATTGGTTAGAATTTTATTTGAAATAACCCCTTAAAAAAAAACAAAAATTGTTTGAAATAAATAATAATATTATTTTATGAACCTTTAAAGTAGAGACTGTGCATTTATAATATACGACGTAAATTGTAAAAGTGAACTTTATTAAATGTGCATTAATTAACTATTATTATTGTATACACGAATGGTTGATCATATTTCTGTATGATATTCGATAATTTTCTCAAGATAACAATAACAATTATTTGTCCAGTTCTATACAAATTCAAATTTTTGAACATTTTTACAATTCTAAGTTTTCAAAAACAGAAATTTAGTTATGAAATCCTTTTTTCGTTTTGATTTATACCCGTTAGAGATTAATTAATTGATTTGAGATCAAAATAAATAGCACGACATGATTTTAAAACAAAGGTTATCGAAAAAATGTTATTGAAATTTTGGTTCGTTGACGAAGGCTGTATCCAGAGAAATTGGATTTTTGATTCCACTTACTACTACGTAATACATCTTTGATATATAATTTCATATTTTTTTTTGGTTTTAGAATTAATATTATGAGTTGGATTTTTATTTTTTAAGAAAACTATCGATCATATCACGCTTATAGTTCCAACAAGTACGCAATCTTACTATTTTAAGTTTTTTAAAACTTATTTAGTGTTTCTTTTACTCTATATTTTGGATCCCTGCATTACTATACAGTGAGTGGTACCTACATCCAACTAAATATATTTGGTCCGTGGAATTAAAAGCTTTGACCATATTTGCAGAGTTATTGCATATAACTTTTCAAACTATATTTGTATGTTCCTACATTTGAGTGTAGATTTTAAATTATTGACGATAGGTATTTATTGAAGTACGGGAGTCAGGAATTCCAAATATTGATTTCTATTAATCTGAGGTAAGGCTATTTCCATAAATTCAAGAAAACCTTTACCTTTTACAATACTATAGTCTCGCTAATTAGTACTTATGTATAATGTATAAATATATATATACATACACATAAATAATTTATATCAAAGTCGATTGAATAGCATAATTATAGGAACATGCATATAAGTAAATAGATCTAATCATAGGCGTACGTAGAACATATTTGCTGAGGGTGCATAGTACAAACAGAATGCACATTTTAGTATGTTACCTAGCCACATAACAAGTCAGGCCAGGATTAATTTAAAAAAAAAAAAATAATAATAATTTTAATAATTGTATTTCTCTTAAAAGTCAATGTTAATGTTAATGCTAGTTACCTATATTAATAATAATTTTAAATTATAATTCAAGATGACGTGTATATAGCTACAATCTATCGACTAAAACACTTCGATAACAGAAAACGATTGTCGATTTTAATGGTGTTTCGTAAAATGTTTATTCGTACCTTCATATAAGCACTAGTAGCACTCATCGTGTGACCACGGGTTTGAAAAAAATCATAACTTAAAAAGTATTATTTCATTTTTTATTAAAGTATCTATTTTAAAGCTGAACTCACTGAGCGTGTGCACGCCTATGCATCTAAGAAATATTTGAGAATACCCATGATTAAGATATTGTAGTTTCGATTACATAAAATTGTATATCAATAAATTTTGATTTTATATTAAGGTGTCTTATTAGACAATTTGGAAGGAATTTGATTAAATTATGAAATTAAACTGTTTGACATACTTGATTTTATACTTCAGTATAACTGAAAAAGTAATATTTGAGATTAGTCGTATTTCCACTTTAAACAGATTTGATCATTTAACAAAAAAACTTTTATTTTATTTTATGTTATTCAATTTTTGTTAATTTTAAAATCAAATATGCATTAGTTCTAGCTCCAGTCAACACTACTAATTGAAAATTCACGAAATTATATGAAATGATTTTGACCTCTCACCATGAGTAAACAATCGAAACTGAATTAATATTAAATTGTTTGGTTTAGTGAAATATCTCTTCAAAATATATCTTAAGTCTTAAGAGGACGCCACACCACTCGTAATTCGGTTGTATAACTGTTTCACGCGGGACAACTTTTCTCGCATCATAACTATAACAGAATAACCAACATTTTACAACACATAGAGAAGAATTGTATCTATACTCTATTCCAAATAAGAACAGGCTTCGGCGGCCRACTTTTACGCATGGGCGTGGCTTCAMTACAARTACGGACTTCTAACACTGCCGCTGTCGCGCGACGACGGGAGCGACGTAATTAGTCTATCATAGACCAGTGACCTGAACTAATAACTTAAAATGCATTGTCATGATTAACTAACTAGGTATGTCAGCAACTTTACCGATTCTAGTATTAATACGCGCAGCCATGGAAGAAACAGTAAGAACTTGATTATTCTAATGGAATGTGACGTCAGCTGCCAAGGATTTTTTCAAAACTTTTGGCGGAAGTCTGGAATATACTTATATGGTTATATGTTATTGAATCCACATCAGATGATTTAAAACCTATTTATATTTAAATAAATTGCACTGGACGTAACACTGGTATTTGTTTTCTCTGTCTTACAATTACGTAATCTGTTTTTTACAATAGTTCATTTTTTAGCAATTATACATATTATATAATACCGTGTGAATTAAAAATACTCATAACTTACTTAAAAACTGAACTGTTGTATAAAACACACATACAAACACAGCTAATGTAAAATATGTAATATATATATATGTATAATAAATTATCAAAACACATTTGTTTTTATTTCTTTATCCTATAAATAACCAAATTGACAAAATAAACAAGAATTAAGAGAGCTATGTACTATTGTGGGTGTATTTTCATAACACAATATGAATTGGCTGTATCAAACAGCCTGTTTATTAGTTATTTTTACTAAGTAAGTTGCATAACATAATTGAGATTCCAGTAGAAGTCTTAGAATATATATGGTACGCACGAGGACATTCATACGGTTAAATGGTATGAATAAACAACTAATGGACAAAGTTATTTCTACAAAAAGCAAAATTAAAAAATTTGTTTTGTAATTTTTAGATATTGATATTAATTACCTATGCATTGAATTAATCAAATATATTTATTTTCATTAGTAGTTAGCACACCTCCTTGGGAATCTTCAATATTTCCTCACATAATTTTTTTTTTTTTTTATTGTCTGCTTATTTTCTTATTTATAGGTAATAGGCCAATTAAAATAGATGCAAATAGACAAGTTACTGACTAAGGCAAATAGAAACTTCAAAATTTTGAAGAAATTAATGTCTTAAAAAATAACTAAGTTTGACTATTTAAATAGATTTTTAGTACACTGAAAATAGATAGGTAAAATTAGTATATTTATTTCATAGTTAACGAGAATAGTAAAATACTAACAACTAAAATAGGTAAGTACTTACTACTATTATAGAATTAAATAGTTAAATACATTTTACATATGTAAAGTAATTAATTATTATGTGGATTTGTAAGTGTAAATAATTCATATTGTATTATTATACTATTATTGTGTATTCTTGATAAGCAATTCTTAAATACTGATAAGAAATCCTTGGCAGATGACGTAAGTATGATGCGTATCACTGAGTTGCTGTCATACCTAGTTAGTTAATCATGTGCATTGTATACTCGCGTTATGATGCAGACATGTACACGTCACACACACATACCGGCGGCATCAAACATTGGTCGCCTCCGCCGAACATCKGCCGCTRTCRCCRTYACCACCGKTARACTAACAGGTGGTTGATTTAGTGGGGAATAAAATAGGCGGAGCCTGACCGCCGCACGACGAAAACTGGTCACCGCCGAAGCCTGTTCTTATTTGGAATAGAGTATATGTCGTAGCGTTTTTATTTTTTGGATAACATAAATACGATTAAAGTTATTGGTTTGAGAACATTAGGTTTTTTTTGTATTTTTCAATTAATTATTAAAAATTATTGAGTAGTGTTATCAAAAAAATAACGACGCTACGACACAGATAAATTTCTTCTTTATAGGGATGGTGGTGTAAAACGGCACAACGCGGCTTCCCCTACTCCATTCAAGCACTCGCGTTTTTCGTTATCGGCCCGCACCGGACGACCGTCTGGCGTCTTGACGAATTATTGTGACAGAACACAGAAATAAAAATTCCGATAATCAAAATTCGATTGACATAATATTATTATCTTGAATAATGAATATAGACTATCGCCTACTAGCATGCTATAGTCTATAATATAGTATACATAATCAATGGCTATTACAAATTAACTATTTATATTTTACAACTTTATAAGCTACACTTGGTGCAATCGACAGTCTCATCTTGGTCACCTTATGACAGGATACGCTGTGGGATTACTACATACTTGTATACTTATCTATAACTACATATTACGATACTTGTCTAATTTATACCTAATTTTAATTAATCAAGATCAGAGTGGCCTTTCTATTTTATACATAAATACATTGTACCTATTTAATTTGTATACTCTTGAACATAACCATATCTATTTTTTTTTGTGACAAAATTGTTTTATCAATATGTCACCAAAAAAAAAATTCGCGCCGTCGCAAAGAAAGGAATCCGATCGGGTAAGACTTCTTTAAAAAAAAAAAAATTGAAAGAAGTTCGTAACGGGGTTCGCAAGAATGTGAGATAAGTACTTTTAAAATAAATATTAGCTTCAAAATAAAAATACATTATTTCATGGACTTGGACTTATTCATT